CTGGCTTTTGGTATATTGCCTTTCCCTTCACCCAAATCAATAATTGTCTCTTACTTATTTAGCAAATTTCCCTCCCTTCCCGTCCCCTTCCATTCCTGGTAACCAACAAAGATAGTTTCCTTCCATGTGTAAACCTTCCCTTAACTTTTTACAACAGTGAACTAATACAATATTTGTCCTTCTGTGATTGATTTATTCCAGTCAGCATAACGTCCTCCAGGTTCATCTAATTATGAGGTGATTTATTATGCATTCTTCTTTAATGTTGCATAGTATTTCATTGTGTGTATGTACCATAGTTAGTTAATCCATTCTTCCATTGGTGGGCTCTTAGGTTGTTCGATCTCTTTGCTATTGTGAATAGTGCTGTGATGAATATAGGTGTGCGTATATCTATCATGTCTTGGTTCTTACTTTTTCAGATATATACCTAGTAATGGAATTGCTGGATCAAATGGTATTTTCCAACTTTTTAAGGAAGCACTATACCATTTCCCACAGAGGTGGTATCATTTTACAGTCCCACCAGCAGTGTATGAGAGTCCCAATCTCTCCACATCCATCCTTGCCAGCATTTGTTATTTTCTGTTTCATTGATTGGAATCTTCTTCCTTCACTAGCTGTCCCCTAGGTCAGTGAATCCTTCCTTCAAAGAGCCTGGGTCCTGGATCTGACCATCTGGCTCACCTGCTCTCTTCTGCCCCCCAGTGGATCTAGGCTGCCAAGACACCACATCTACCTACACCCTTTAGTCCCTTTCTCACGCCTGTGAAACCATTATTCAAAGTTTATTATAGCTGCTTTAAGTGCTTGGGGCTTTGCCGAGGCCTCTGAAATCCCTGAGTGAAACTAGTTACTCACTGGGAACCCTCGGTGGGTGGGTGCCTTCTCCCCCACATGCCCAGGCAGCTCTTTAAAGGGCAGCCACAGCCACACAGATGTGCTAGGACACACACATCCAGGCATGCACACACCGAGTCCCCTAGAGACACAGCCAACACTCACAGGGGATCCAGGCAGACAGGCACAGAGACGTAGAAGTAGCCAGCCCTGCCACATTTTAAGGAGAAAAAAAAAAAAAAAAAACTAGCCATGTGCCCATCTTAAACACAGGGTTACATTAGCAACCTGGTGTGTTTACAAAATAAATATAGCCTCGATGCCATGGTTCTACGTCTGTGGAGGAGCTGGCAGATCCTGTAAACCCTGCCTGCCAGAGACCTCACCCTGGCCAAAGACCATGTTAAATAGGAGGTTGCATGTGCCCCCCATCTGTCAGTTTGTTGTGGCTTGCATGTTGATCGGGTGCTGGAAGCTATGCCACTGGTATTTCAAACACCAGCAGGGTCACCCAAGGTGGCCGGATTACAGTGGAGTTTCTGGACTAAAACCAAGAAGAAAGCGTTAGGGATCTATTTTCAAAAATTAGCCCATGCAAAAAAAAAAAGAAGGTGGGGACCAGGTTTGCTGGTCCAATAGAGCCTGGTGTAACCACTGAGACTATGGCCCCTAGCTGCCCTTCAGGTCTGGAATTGAACCCACAACTGTGGTTTCCAGCCAAACAAAGTACAGGCATGTGAGTTAAACATTTACCTCAAGTAGACACACGCCCTGGAGAGAACAATCATGGGAGAAGGAAGGGCTGCTTATGCACAGGGAGATAGCTCAGGGTGCAGAAGAGTATGAAGGGATGGATGCTGGGAGGAGGTAGCTATGGGGAGGAAGTGGGAGGGGAGCTGCTGCATTGTAAATTTTGGTCAATGTCATGAGACAAAGTATATGTGAACTGCTGTATGAAAAGTGAATTTACTCTGTAAATCTTCACCCAAATCCTAATTAAAAAAAAAAAAAAAATTAGCCCATGAATCCCTATGGATCACAACAGAAGATTGTCTGATATGGGGCTGGATGATGAGCCCCCTAGGTTGGGGGCACTACACAGCAGCTATTACAATGGACTCAAACAATCAACGATCATGAAGATGGTGCAAGATCGGGCAGTGTTGTGTTCTGTGGTACGTAAGGTCTCCACAGGTCAGAGCACATGGCCTTGTTTAATAGGTGGCTATCACCATCTCCAGTCCCTCAATGGTGGTACAAATTGTTAAGTGCTGGACTAATGGCCCAAAAGGTTGGCAGTCTGAACCCATCCCGAGGTGCCTCAGAAGACAAGCCTGGCAATCTGCTTTCAAAAAGTCACAGCCTTGAAAACCCTCTGGAGCAATTCTACTCTGCAGCATGAGGGGTTGCAATGAGTTGCAATTGATGACAACTAATAACAACACTGTCTCCAGAGTGGTGATCCTAAAGCACTGGTGGAAGGCAGACAGCTGTGCAGAGTAGGCCTACAGGTCCTTCCAGATGTTCCCCAAAGGCTGTGCTCACTCTACTCCTGTCCCAGCCAGACCAGCAGGAGACTCACCTGTGGGAGTCCTGAGATTCTCCGGGTAGAGCAGAGTCATTTGTAAATGTGTGTTATAGCAGTCCTCCTGGGAAACCCACTCTTTACCCTCACTCTCATAGAAACTAGATTTGACCTCTTCTAATTACCTGGTGCCAGGGAACAGGTGGAGACCTGTCCCAGGCCTGTCTCTTTGGAAGTCTACGTTTCAGTGAAGACGCATTCCTAAACAGCTCAGTGCACTGGCCGCCCTGCGGTCACTGAATCATTTCACCCACCCATTTTATTATAGAGACACAGAGCCTTTCCTCCAACAGGATGCAACAGCCAGAGAGTTGGACTGAGTCATGGGCCAGCCCAGAAAGGGCATCCCAGGAGCCAGCCATTAGGCAAGACGTGGCCCTGCTTAAAGATCCTACAATGCCCCTCTGATGGAGGCCAGCTCTCTGCCACACAAAGCCCACACCTTTGGTCACCAGACAGAGATTTGGGAATACCTTCAGGGCTACCTAGAAGGTGCCTTGTGGAGGAGGAGAGTAGTGATCTTATTTCACAATCCTAGTTCCAAGTGACCAGCCCAAGACCTTCTGGTAAGTCATTGCTAGGAAACTCTGGCTCCTGCCTCAGGCCAAGAACCTCACCCACCCAGGCAAGCCTCAGCTCCCTGCCACCCAGCTGTTCCCCAGAGTGCCTAACCCCCTGAGTCACTGTCAGTCACCCGTCTGCCTAGACACCCACTCCCACGACTGCTTAGCCCTGGCTTGATGGGTGTCAGGTCAACCAGAGGGATTTGGGGCCATGAGGGGCCTTCAGGAGCACAGAATGGCAGGCTCTGCAGTTCTTACAGAGTATGAACCTGTGCAAAGTTCTTATTTACAAAGACAAGGAGCCTGCTCGATGAGTGCCTTCCTAATGGAAGCCCTTGATCCAAGGAGGAAACATAAACTCAAGGGTAAGCTTGGGGGCTATCTGCGCCTGGGCCTCCCGTCACTTCCGACAGCTCAGGAGTGCAGTCACCAGGAGTGGGTTTTTAGGAGTGTGTGGAGGTGAGAGGAAATGGCTCTCCCAGCTTCTCAGCACCCTCCCCCACACTCTGATTCCGCCTTCTTGGGAGCTCAGGCCCTGGGGGGTCCTGACCATATTCACAGTGGGAAGTGAGGCAGAAGGCAGGCTGCCCAGAGTTTCACCACAGGTCCCATTCACACCACCTACTCACTTAATCCACAAAGTTTATTGGGCATTCACAACAGGGTCACTGGGACGCACCCCACCCTGCCCTCCAGGAGCTTACAGTCTAAGAAGCTGGGCCCAGAGATGTGGGAGGACAGCACAGTCTTGCTGAAGATCTTGTTCTCAACACTGATTCCTTCAACGGTGCCCCCAGCTACCCACACATCCTGCCACCTTAAGCAGTGCTATCATGGGTTGATGCGGCAGAGTCTGAGTCACTAACACCCCCCACCAACTGTTAGCTCTGTCTTGCTCTGGGAGCCCTGGTCCATAGCACAGGCTGTTGGGCTGGGAGTTGGGGGAAGTAAGTCCCAGCATCCCTACGAATGTTCAGAGGATCCCCAGGAAACGGTTGCACATTCCCTCATCATCTCTTGGGCATCTACTACTGTGATCCTGAGCTTCCGCAGGCCTCCTGTTTTCAAGGAGAAGAAGTCTCAAGAACAGACTGCTTCCAGTAACCTACCTACCTAGCAGGAAGTGGTTGGCAAGAAAGTAACCTGCAGCCACTCCCTGACTTCTGGCTATCCTGCAACATAGGTCTGCTCACTTTTCAGCACCATCTGTGTGCTTGGCTCAGGCTCTCCTCCAAAGCGACAAGCTGCTTTGAGACCACAGGGCAGCCTCATTCCTGTCCCACCTCCTCACACACCAAGCCCACCTGGCTGGGGTATGGTACATAGGTGTTACATTAATGATCTGAGGATGAAATCCTTCCCAAGACTCCTAGCAGTACCCCTCACCCTCAAGAGCACACAGCCCTGTTGGAGTGGAGGTGATGGCTTCCAGCCCCCCCTGGTTCCTGCCTTGGTGCCCTGCAGAGAGCTGTGAAGGCAGGCAGCCCAATGCCCTGTGGGTGACTGCTATTGCGTGCTCAGGTTCCAAAGCTGGGCTGGTAAGAAGGAAGCCACCCACCCAGGTCTGGGAGACAGTGACCAGTCAGAGTTAGAGCAGATGGCTGCACCTGGCCTAGGTGAGCCCCTGGCTCAGGTCTTGGGCTGGTGCCAGCACTGGGGCAGGTGTGTGGCAGCCCTGGGCACCTGTGGCTGGTCTAGTTCCAGAACCACCTCCACCAGCTGGGATGGGGGAGCATCTTGTTCACCTGCAGCCACCTGCCCTTTCTTCTCAGGCCCCAGAACCCCAGGTGGGGGCGTGTGCAAGCAGAGACCCTCCTCTTTTTTTCCTCAGAGCTGAGCCCCTCACGGACTTCAGTCTGTCCCCTCAGGTCAAACATCCATTTCCGGCCTGGGGATTTGGTGCTGGCTTGTTCCCTAGGAGTGAGAACAGCAGCTGACACCGAGAGCTTTTTCATTTGGTCCAGCGCTCCTGGTCGCTCAAAATTCACAGGGTCCGTGGACCTGGCAGGGAGCTACCACGGCCGCCAAAATCCGGGGTCGCCGAAAGGGGCAGGCTGCGGAGGCGTGGGGGGCGCGGGCGGAGGGGCTGGCGAGGGCGGGCTGCCCGGGTCCCCTGGGAGCCCACCGTCGGGGGTGGCGCCGGAAGCCCTCCGCCGCAGGTGCTCCAGCAGATGCGCGCTCACCGCCGGCTCCAGGATGCGGCAGGCCTGCAGCACTCGGGCCAGGCGCGCCAGGCAGGCGCGGTAGCCCTCGCGGTAACTGTCGGAGGACGCTGCGGAAGAAGAGGGTCGTGAGGCAAGCGAGCCGGGCCGGGACATAGGCGAGGCAAGCCAGGGAAGGATCACTTACTGGGTGCGGCTGCTGGACAGGGGGACGCGGGCAGCTCCTGCAGGAAGCGCACGGTCATTTCCAGGATGTCCGCCTTCTCCAGCTTGGAGTAGCGGGAGCTCTATGTCCGGACACGAGCGAGAGGAACCGACAGAGGGACACTCAAGACAGAGATCTCCAGCCAGTTGCCCCGGACACTGCGCTCTGGCCAGTCAGTAGCTGGGTTCCCCGCGCGCGGTGTTCCGCGGTGCGGTCGCTCCTCCGCGCCCCGCGCTTTGAGCACTGCGCGAATTCCCCTCTCGGGTTCCTTTGGCAGGAGCGCGGGGTCTCGCCCTCCCTTCTCCGCGCCCAGCCCGCAGGGTTCGCGAAGCACTGCGCGTCCGGCACTCACCTCTTTGCCCAGCAGCGGTAGGATGAGCCCCTTAAGCTGCCTCAGGCTCTCGTTGATGCGCGCGCGGCGACGCTTTTCTAGCAGGGGCTTCAGGCTCTGAGGGCCGAGCAGAGGCTACGGTTACGCGGTCCCGGGTCCCGGTCCCGTCCCGGTACCTGGCCGCCCAGGCCCTCAGGCCCCACGCCTACCTTGCGCAGCTCCGCCGCGTCCCCTGCCCTCCGGGGCAGCCCCATGTGCACCAGAAGAGCAACAACCACCCGGCCTGTGCCGTGGAGACCTGTGACCACGGACAGAAGCCGTGCTAAAGCTCCGGAGCTGGGCTAGAGGAGTGAGCGCCGCACCTCCACAGCCCGGCTTTAAGGAGGCGGTGCCTGCCCGCTGCGCCCCGCCCCACAGCGCCCCAGAGTCCAGCCACCGCCCCCTCCTGGCTTTGTCCCTGCGCGGGGCGGGGCGGGAGGGGCGGCGCTCCGGGGGATCCGCTCCAGGACCTATTGTCCCATCTGCGGCGGAATTGGGGTCGCGGGGCCCAGGGGCCCATCCACCAACCACTGGGGAGTGCAGGCGCTGTCGGGGGTCCTGAGGTCACCTCTGGACCAGGCAGCAGGAGAAGGGGCCGGGCCTTGCTTGGCTCAGGCTGCGGCCCCTCTACCCCTGCTCCTTGCCCTTGGGAAGCGCACCAGCTCTTGGGTGGGAAAAGGCTCTCTTCTTCATTCAATTCTCGCATTCCGGTTCAGCACCTCCTCTGAGATGAGACCTAGGCCAAGACAGGGACTTACTGGCGACAGGGCTGCCGAAGCAGGGCGTCAAGGTTTTTCCACACGGCAAGGCCCGAGAGGTCTGTGAGCCACCAGCTACTCGGCGGACGGAGGGCTGAGCTGGAAGGGGAAACCGAGACCCAGGGAAACGTTGCGACTTGCTTGGGCTCTCGCCCCTGGGTATTGTTGACCCGGTAGGGCCCACCAAAAAAAAAAAAAGAAAAACTCACTGTCTTCAAGTCGATTGGACTCATAACGACCCCTCCTTGGGTTTCTGAGGCGCTATCTTTACGGAAGTAGATTGTCCAACCTTCCTTCCGAGGAATGGCTGGTGGGTTTGAACCGCCAGCCTTCTGGTGAGCAGTCAAATGTCTTAGGCACTGCGCCACCAGAGCTCCTCCAGACACCTGGATTCCCAGCCTAGGGCTCTACGAATTCCACAGAACCCGCTGGTGGGACACTGAGTTAAGTATCGTTTGGTTTCGGTTAGAGAAACTGCCCAGAGTAGACCAGGCAACCCAGGAGCCCCAATTCTATTAACTCGGAGGTCATTTGTGTTTTGATTGGTTCCAGATGCGGGTTCGACCCGCTCGACCTTTGAGGCTCACGTGACCTGACGGGCGGGCGGTGCTGGGCTCTGGCTCAGCGCCCGGCCCCAGCTCCGCCCCCCACCCCGGCCAGCCTCGGCGCCGCGTGGCGGTTGCGGCTGCAAACAGGCTGAGCGTCCTTCGCCCATCTGCTCCCCTCCCCCGACTCGGCTGGTGGGGCAACGGCCAGCCGAGTGGACGGCACTGCAGACTGCAGGACAGACCCACGGACAGACTGCAGGCCCGACCCACAAAGCCGGCGGTGAGGAGGCGCGGCTGGGGCGCAGCCGAGGCTAGCGCTGTCCAGGGTGCTGGAACATCCTCTCTTTCTCTCCCAACCCACCTTTCTCCCTCCCCCGCGGCCTCTGCCCAAACCCCACCTTGGCGCCCCTCCCCTCCTCCAGACCCAAGCCTTACTGCTGCGCGCTTCTTCCGTTGGGCCCGGGGGAACTAGCGTACCCACCAGAAGGGAGACACCGAGTAGCCTGAGAGAGGGAATACTCAGGCCACTAATTCCTCTTTCCTACACAAAAGATCACCTTTAAAAAAAAAGAGAGAGAGAGAGACATCTAGTTGATTCCTTCTCATGGCGACCTCATGTGTGTCAGAGTAGAAATGAGTTCCTTAGGGTTTTCAATGGCTATTCGTTTTCTTTAGGCGGCTTCTTCTTGTTATGTGTTGTCGAGTCAGACCCGACTCAGAGCGACCCCTCCTTGGGTTTCCGAGGCAGTATCACTATGGAAGTAGATTGCCCCATCTTCCTTCCGAGGAGTGGCTGGTGGGTTTGAACCTCCAACCTTCTATCCGCTACTAGTGGAAAAGTTAGCTGTTCAAATCCACCTAGTGGTTCCACAGAAGAAAAGCCTGGCAATCTGTTGCCATAGATTACAGCCAACAACACCCTATGGAGCAGTTCCATTGTGTAACTCACAGGGTTGCCATGAGTCAGTGCAAGTCCTCTGTGTCTAGCAACAACCACCTCTGTCAAGCAGATCACCAAGCTTCCGTAGCTCTACTGACTGGATTGAATGGCTGTTCTTTTAGCTGGTAACCATGAGCTAACCATTTGTGCCATCCGGGGACCCAAAAGACTAACAAGCTACCATTTCTCACCACCTACTGTGTGCAAATCACAGTGCCAAGTGTTTTCTAGCCTTCATCTCCATTAATCTTCCTAAGAATTCTAATTGTAAGAATTAATCATCAACACATTTGGCTTGGCAGGTTAATGGGGTGCCTGGTTCCTTGTCCCCCTTGAACCTCACAGTTGAGCCCAGGATGCCTATGAGCCAGCCCCCTCCCAGATTATTAATTACTCAAGAATCAAAAAAGGACTGTGTGGGTCACTCAAAGGTGCCCCACCTGGCCCCTCCTTCCTGTGCTCACTCAGCCCTCCACTCACAGCCCACCCTGCACCAGTGTTTATGTCCTCAGGGAGAAGGACCTCGTACTAAATCCAGGAAAGTAGACTGCAGGAGGCAGACCAGACTAGAATGTCCTCCAGGCCGGTGGGCCACCATCTGAAAATGGGGGAGAGGTGAACTCCTTTTTCAATGCCAATTATCTCAAATCGTAAAAAGTCTTTCTCAGCCATTCTCCCATTGCTGTACAGCACTTTGACCAGGTAGGACAATGCTCCCCTCAGTGGAAGAGTTCTGGGTTTTTTGTTTTGTTTTTGCTGGTAACTTGGAGGGAGGAATCAGAGCCAAAGGAACTTAAGTGGAACAGCTGGGCTGGATGGAGTGTGGGGTGAGGCTTTAGACAAGGGATTGGAGCCACCAAATGACCCACCCATGCAATAAGAGCTATCCCTGGGGTACAGTGGGAACACTCCATCCATGGTCCCCACCATTAGGAAGCGCATCAGTTCCTGGGTAGGAGGAGAGGCCTACACATGCGTCTCACACAATCAGGCTGAGCAGGATGGGGTGAGTCCAGCAAAGGGGTGAGAGGAGGCCTCCTGGGGAAGGGCTCCCTTGCTGATACTTGAGGGGTAGGAGGCAGTGAGGGTGCTCTGGACAGAGGGAGCTTCAAGTGCAAAGATCCTGAGGGAAGGCGAGCATGGCCGAGTCAGCTGGAGAGTGAGCTTTGTCACTTTCCATTTGTGTCAACTTGTGCAAGATGCTTAAAACTTCCCCTTGCCTAGTTTTCCCACCTGGGAAATGGGGATAGCCATTGTACCCCTCTCACAGTGTTGGTATTGGGATTCCGTATGCATGTGAAGCTTGGCCTGGGGCCTGACAAGCTGTAGTTGTTCTTGTTAGGTATAGTCAAGTCAGTTCTGACTCATAGTGACCCTATGTACAACAGAACAAAACACTGCCTGGTCCTGCACCATCCTCAAAATCCTTGCTATGCTTAAGCTCATTGTTGCAACCATGTATCAATCTAGCTCATGGAAGGTCTTCCTCTTTTTCATTGGCCCTCTACTGTATCAACTATGATGTCCTTCTCTGGGGACCAGTCCCTCCTGATAGCATATCCAAAATAAATGAGACAAAGTCTTTCCATGCTCTCTACTAAGGAGCATTCTGGATGTACTTCCAAAACAAATTTGTTCATTCTCTGACAGTCCATGGTATATTCAGTATTCTTTGCTGTCTTAGTCTGAGTTTTCTAGAGGAGCAAAACCAGCAAAGTTCATATATAAATATATAATATATAAATATATATATGTATGTATGTAATGTATATAAACTCAACCAAGCCCACTGATTCCGACTCACAGTGACCCTGTAGGACAGAGTAGAATTGTTCTGTAGGGTTTCCAAGGTCGTACATATTTACAGATGTAGACTGCCACATCTTTCTCCCATGGAGTGGCTGGTGGGTTTGAACTGCCAACATTGTGGTTGGCAGCCAATTGATTACCCACTGCACCTAGAGCTCCTATTAATATTTATAAGGAGATTTATTTCAAGGAAATGGTTCACGCAGTTGTGGAGCCTAGCAAGTCCCAAATCCGTGAGCCAGGCAGCAGGCTAAAGGCTTCTCCAGACGTACATGGTTACAGAGGCTGAGAAACTCAAAATCTGCAGGACAGGCAGCAGGCTGCTGGTTCATGTCCCAAGAACAGGAGGTCAGAGGATGTCAAGACAGGATTGCACTGGAGTTTTGCCATAACATCCATAAATATTGGATGAAAGCCACACCTCCAAGGAAAATCCCCTTCCAAATGATTGGCTGCTCATATCAGATCATAAAATGGAGGATGATTATGTAATATCTGCCAAACCACTGAGAATCATGGCCTAGTCAGGTTGACACATAACATTAACTATCACAGTCACAACAACATAATTCAAATGCATCAATTCTTCTTCATTCTTCCTTATTCACTGTCCAGTTTTCACATGCATATGAGGCAGTGGAAAATACTTGGCTTGGGTCAGTCCTCAAAGTGACATCTTTGGTATTTAACACTTTAAGAAGATCTTCTGCAGTAGATTGGCCCAATGCAATATGTCCTTTGATTTCTTAACTGCTACTTCCATGCGTATTGATTGTGAATCCAAGTAAAATGAAATTTTTGATAACTTTAATCTTTTCTCCATTAATCATGATGTTGTTTATTGGTGCAATTGGGAGGATTTTTGTTTTCTTTTTGTTCAAGTGTAATCCACACTGAAGGCTGTAGTCTTTGATCTTCATCAGTGAGTGCTTCAAGTTCTCTTTGCTTTCAGCAAGCAAGGTTGTGTCATATGCATATCACAGGTTGTTAATGAGTCTTCCTTCAATCCTGATACCACATTCTTCTTCATATAGACCAGCTTCTCAAACTATTTGCTCAGCATACAGATTGAATAAGTATGATGAAAGGATACAACCCTGATGCACACCTTCCCTGATTTTAAACCACAAAATATCCCCTTCTGTGTACAGGTTTCACAT